AATTCAAGTCTTATTAAACACCAGATGATTCACATTAGAGAGAAGCCATATCAGTGTTCTGAATATGATACAGCTTTTACACAGAAATCACATCTTCTCATACACCAGAGGATTCTCACTGGAGAGATTCCATATCCATGTTCTGAATGTGACAAAGCTTTTACAAAGAAGTCACATCTTATCACACACCAGAGGGTTCACACTGGAGGGAAGCCATATATCAATGTTTTGAATGTCACAAAGCTTTTACAAAGAAGTCACATCTTATCGCACACCAGAGGATTCACACTGGAGAGAAGCCATATCACTGTTCAGAATGTGACAAAGCTTTTACACAGAAGTCAGATCTTATCAAACACCAGAGGGTTCACTTTGGAGGGAAACCATATCAGTGTTCTGAATGTGACAAAGCTTTTACACAGAAGTCAAATCTTATCACACACCAGAGGATTCACACTGGAGAGAAGCCACATCAGTGTCTTTGTATGTGGCAAAGCTTTTACAGAGAAGTCACATCTTATCAGACACCAGAGGATTCACACTGGAGAGAAGCCATATCAGTGTTCAGAGATGTAGTAGCAAAGCTTTTACAGTGAAGTCAAACCTTGTCACACACCAGAGGATTCACACTAGAAAGAAGCCATTTTAATGCTGACATGCTGAATGGGACAAAGCTTTTACAGTTAATGCTGGGCTAATATATCATCAGAGGATTCACACATTTCAGCTGCACAGAAGAAGAAAAGGGGATATTAAAGTAGTGTCCAGTGTCCCATTAGTTTCACAGCCCCAATTCATCCCACAAGCTAGAGAAGCAGTGAAAAGTTAAAATGTTACTCTAAAAAACAAACTGGAATGTAATGACTGAGTGCATTGTGTTTAGTGATTATGTCCATCAGAAACACAACTAGAAGGTCTGTGAATATTTTACCTTTTGACATTTTTTTTTTCGATAAGCACCAATGACTGAACTGTTTCCCTCTTGGTTCTCATCTTTATTTTATATAAGGAGCTTTGACTAAACATATAATGCATTTTCATCATTCACCAACTGAGATGTGTTCCCAAGTGTTTTCTTTATTGCCAGATCCTGAGCTACTACATGACCAACACTGCCTCAGTACCTGAGACTAGGATGGGGTCCAATTGTATCTTACCAAGCCTCTGAAGCCTCAGTGGGAGAGTCCATTCCAGGTTCTTCTGACTATTGATATATCATCAGCCAGGGTTAAGGGCTCCAGCTAAGTCCACCTTCTCCACACCTCTCATTACATGTTCCACCTCCTCTCCCATGATCAATGCTTCCTTTCCATGTTTCATCATCTCCTCTCATAGATGACAGTTTTGCAGGTAGGTCTGTAGCTTGAACACCCAAGATGAAGTCTCTGGTCAGTGAAAAAGAAACTCCCTAAGCAGCCAGAAGGCTTCCAACACTGATTTTCTGCTGTTTATGGGATGCATTCAACAGTACCATTTAAGTTCAGCTGCCCACTTGTGTTCCATCTGTTTTGCTGAAAGTCTCAGGGATACCATCAGGTGAAGAATGGATTTTCTTGTTGTCTTCTTCCTCTGTCCAGATATTACTCATCTCCTTAGAATATTCACACAGCACAACTGCAAGAGATCTGAACTTACAAAGTTCTACCTGTGCGGTCATATTCCTGCCACTTCTGGGGACTGAAACCCCTCCAATTGCGGTTCAATTTCATGTCTATGAAAGGACAGGTCTCTCTTTGGGGTAAAGTTTTCAAAGAGCACTTCTTGTCTCTGGAAATGTTAGGACATTGGCACTACCATGGACAAAAATCAATCATTACATTTCCCGCTCCCTCAACCCTCCTAGCGATCACAGAAACCTGGATCCAGCCACTGACTCTACCTCCCCTGCTGCACTCTCCTACGGAGGTCTCACCTGGACCCACTCACCCAGGCCTAACGGTCGTAAAGGTGGTGGGGTTGGTCTGCTCCTGTCACCGCAGAGCACCTTCCGAGTCCTCCCAAACCCCCCCCCCCCAATCCTTCTCCTCCTTCGAGGCCCACTAGGTCCGACTATTCTCCCCAACCCCCCTGAAGATTGCTGTGATATACCGGCCTCCTGGATCCATATCCCGCTTCCTGGTAGACTTTTCCTCCTGGCTACCCTTCTTCCTCTCCTGTGAGCTACCCACCATCATCCTTGGGGATTTCAACATCCCTGTCAACCTTGACAACCCGGGACACATCCCATCTCCTCCACTTAACCTCTCCTCCTTTGCACTTGCGACAGTGCATACAATCCACCACCCACTCCAACGGTAATATCCTTGATCTTGTCTTCTCCAACCACTGCGCGCTCCCCACAACCTCACTAACACCCCCTTCCCTCTCTCTGACCACAACCTGATTACCTTCTCTATCTCCTCGTCCTCCAACGCCTACCCCTCCAAATGTCACACTACTACCAGCCGTAACCTCCGCAACCTTAACCCTGCCCCCCTCCACTCTGCAGCTGATCAACTCCATGACAGCATCCTCCCCCCCTGTCCTGCCCCGACTTGGCTATGACTGCCTACAACAACGCGCTGTCAACAGCCCTTGACTCACTAGTGCCTTTAACCACACGCAACATCAACCCCCGACCGCTCCAGCCCTGGCAGACTGATCACACCAAAACCCTCAAACGACACAGTCGTGCCCTGGAGCGACTATGGCGCAAAACCAAATCCCAACAAGCCTTCACCCGCTACAAATCTGCCTTCCACACCTACACCCTCCTCCCTCCACGCAGCCAAACAAGCCTACTTCCTGACCCTCATCAAGACCCTCTCCTCCAATCCTCGCCGACTCTTCTCCACCTTCAACTCTCTACTCTCGTCACCCCCCACCTCCACCCAGCACCACTCACTCACTGCCCTTGAGATTGCCAATCACTTCAAAAACAAGATTGACACAATTCACAAGGACATCGCCGCAACTCACACGCCCTCTCAACCTGTCCCCTCTCACACAGCTACCCCCTCATCCCCCCCCCCCCCTCGACATAACCCAGCAGGCATAACCGGCATAACTTTGTCGCTGCTCAAACTCCCTCCAACCCCGTTCCCCCTCACTCAACTACCCCCTCATCACCCTCTCCCACGGCCCCACCACTGCTGCTCTGACCTCCACTTTCCCCCACCCTACATTCCTCATACTGAAGCCCCCCCAAAACTCTGCACCTTTGACCTTACTACCATTGAGGAAGTCTCCAAGATCCTCTCTGATGCCCGCCTCACCACCTGCCCCCTCGACCCTATCCCCTCACAACTCCTACGACCTCCCTCCCCCTCCATCCTACACTCCCTCACCCACATCTTTAATCTCTCCCTCTCCTCCCAGGCACTTTCCCCTCCCCTCTGAAACTGCACACATCACCCCCATACTTAAAAAGCCCTCCCTGTACCCCAATGACCCGAACAACCTCAGACCCATCTCCCTGCTCCCATTTACATCTAAACTCCTCGAGCGCCTAGTCTACACCCGCCTAAGCTCTCACCTCAATGACAACAACCTCCTCGACCCCATACTGTCCGGCTTCTGTCCCCTACACTCCACCGAAACTGCCTTACTCAAACTCTCCAATGACCTGCTAACCACCAAAGCTAATGGCCACTATTCAGTGCTCCTACTCCTTGACCTCCCTGCGGCCTTCGACACAGTCGACCACCCCCTCCTCCTCAAAAAACTACACTCCCTCAGCCTCAGAGATTCTGCTCTCTCCTGGCTCTCATCCTACCTGTCACAATGCTCTTTCAGCGTTACCTATAATGCTACCACCTCCCCCTCACTCCCCCCTCTCTGTTGGGGTCCCTCAAGGCTCTGTCCTTCGGCCCCTTCTCTTCTCCATCTACACCTCCTCCCTTGGCCAACTCATACACTCTCACGGCTTCAACTACCACCTCTATGCCGACGACACACAAATCTATCTCTCAACCCCCCACCTCACCCCCTCGGTCTCCGCCCGAATCACACACCTACTGAGCGACATATCAGACTGGATGTCGCTCCACTTCCTTAAACTGAACCTCTCCAAAACCGAGTTTCTTGTCTTCCCCCCCAGCCCGGACACCCCCCCCCATTGACTTCTCCGTCATATCCAACAACGCCACCATCAAACCCGCCCCACAGGCCAGAGTACTTGCTGTCATTCTGGACTCCAACCTATCCTTCCAGCCCCAAGTCCAATCACTAACAAACTCATGCAGACTCCACCTCCACAACATCGCCAAAATACGCACGTTCCTAACCCCAGAAACCACTAAACAGCTCATCCATTCCCTCATCATATCACGACTCGACTACTGCAACTCCCTCCTCACTGGCCTGCCTCGCCGCTGGCTATCCCCGCTTCAGTCCATCTGAATACGGCTGCCAGACTCATTCACTGCCAACCGCTCCACTCCGCCACCCCCCTCTGCCAATCCTCCACTTCCCAATCCCTCCACTGCCTCCACTCTCCTCCACCCCCCCTCTGCCCTCCAATCCCTCCACTGGCTTCCGATTGCGCAACGGATCAAATTCAAAAACCTAACACTGACGTACAAAGCTGTCCACCATACTGCCCCGAACTACATCACTGACCTAATATCCAAGTACCGCCCAGCACGCACACTCCGCTCCTCACAAGACCTCCTTCTCTCTAGTTCCCTGGTCTCCTCCTCCCATGCCCGCCTCCAGGACTTCTCCAGGGTGTCACCCATCCTCTGGAACTCCCTACCCCAACCCATCAGATTATCACCTACTCTCCTCTCCTTTAGGCGCACCCTGAAAACCCATCTCTTCAGGGAAGCCTACCCCACCCCCTGCTAACCTGCTGACCTCCTCCACTCTTCCTACCACTCCATCCCCCCACAGCTATTTCCTCCTGTACCACTATCCCCTCCCTCCTAGATTGTAAGCTTGAAAGAGCAGGGCCCTCGATCCCCTCATGTTTTGCATTGTATTGGTATTGTTCGGTCACATGTTCTGTCCCCCTTTGTAATGTACAGCGCTGAGCGAACTATTGGCGCTTTATAAATACTGTATAATAATAATAATTACATAAATGGTGCAATCTGTCATTAGCACAGCAGTTTTTGTTTTTCCGAGTCTCCCCTTGTAACATTTTTAGTTGACTTTCCCAGTAGATCATTTTTTTTCTACTTCCTGTAGAAGGCCAAGCATTTTGGCAAAAATGGCAGTTGGAGGGATTGGGGCAAATCCTATAACACTGCTGGGGGTGCTCACAACTGTCAGTTGTCATTCATATGGGGGTTGGACCTTATAGAGAACCTGTTGCTGTAACTGCTGTAGAAGTGTTAGCTGAAGTTGGGCTTTACTTGTTGTGTGTCTTACTTATCTAATCTATCTAAGACTTCCCTGTACAGGGTGACAACGCTGCTGTGTAATGT